GGGCATGTATCGGCTCACGAAAGGCGACGACTATATCTTACTGTTTGTCTACGTGGACGACCTGCTTTACATCGGCTCGACTGACGGCGTCACTACCTGGTTCGAAGGGGAGCTGCAACAAGATCTCACGCTCACGGCCTCGTCCACCGTCACGCAGTATCTCGGCCTCAATATTCAAGAAGAAGAAGACGCGATCTATCTCAACGCCGCGAAATACGCCGACACCATCGCCAAACGCTTCGGACTCTCCACGACCTCCATCTCCACGCCATACCGCTGCACCACCAGAAATCACAAGGAAGGCTCCGCTCTACTCAAAACCGCTGGCATACGCGACTACCAACGAAAACTAGGATGTCTGCTCTTCGCAGCCGTCACTTGCCGACCGGACCTCTCTTACTCCGCAAGCCAACTCGCTACCTACCTCAAAAAACCTGAAGCAGAGCACATGGCGGAGCTCGACCGCGCACTACACTACCTCGTCAGCACCCCGACAATCGGACCAACTTACTAAAAGACCGGAACCACGGCGCCTAAGCTAATCGGCTACGTCGACGCAGATCACGCCGGCGACTCAGACAACAGGCGCTCGCGCACCGGCTATATCTACCGACTCGAGCCTATCGGGCCGATCTCATGGCAGTCGAGCAAGCAGGAACTAATTGCTCTCTCCTCAGCTGAAGCAGAATATATTGCACTCTGCTCAGCCACCAAGGAAGGACTTTACCTTCGTGAACTGCTGGAAGAGGCGAAATTGGCTCAGTTACCCAGCTTCTCCTTGTTCTGCGACAACCTGTCAGCAATTCGCATAGCCAACAAAAATGGATTCGCGAACAGGACGAAGCATATCGCCCTGCGATATTTCTTCGTCAAAGACGAGATCGAGAAGGGCAGACTCGAGCTGTCTTACTGCCCCACGTCTGAGATGGCAGCTGATTACTTGACCAAGAAACTCGGAAAGCAGAAGTTCGAGTACTGCATGCTGCTGACTGGACAAGGCCACGTCACCAGCAACGACACTCCAGAAGCGAAGGGGAGTGTTGGAAACAAGTAATTTAAGCGCCTCTGTCGTGTCGAAGCACTAAGTCGTAAACGAAGCGAAATACAGTGAAGCATCGGCGAGTCAACACTTGGAGGTTGAGAGATGAAGAAACGGCTGGAGGTTACGCGAAAGTCAAAGGTCAGCGACCTTTGACCTGACAAGTACAGCGCAACAGCAAGGACAAACAGCTGACTCATTATTGAGCAGTTGCCCGAGTCGTCACTGTATCGAACCACAACCGCAACAGTAAAACAGTTATTAACTGTGTCTCTTCATATTCCTTGTACTCTTAGAAAACCTTGTATCTTCTTGTTTTAATCAATCTACTTTGCCCTCACATAACAGCGCAAGGTGGTTCACAGACTCATAATTAAACGCTTCCGCTATTACATTGTTCCTACTCAGAGTTTAGTCCTGCAAAGATCCTAAGGGCTTTTCTCAGCCCAACAGGGGGCAGCATGACCGTGGTGAGTGGTGGGTGGGAAGCTCATGGTGCACGGTGGGGAGGGAAGGTCCCAGGGTGGCTGTTGCAGGGAGGAGAAGAGCAAGGTGGCAATGGTGGCGTTGAATGCTACTGCTTTTGAGACGTCTCAAAGGTTGAGAACAGCAAGCACATGATGAGTGGTGGGAAGGGCATGGTGCACATTGGGGAGGTCCCAGGGAGGCTGTTGCACGGAGAAGAGTCAGGGAGCATTGGTGGAGTTGAATGCAGCTGAGGCAGGCACTAGCATGACCTCCCAGTCCACCTGAGGAGAAAAATGGTCAGGATAGAAGGGAGGGAGGGATGGGGGAGGAGGGAAGGGGGAAAGAGAGGATGCGTGCTTTGAGTTGGTGGCATGGCGGGACGCTCACTCAGCAATTGCAGCGCTAAGAACGTCCTTCTTTCTGTGAGGGTGTGTGCGTGTGGGTTCGTGCGCGTGCGTGTGAATGTGTGTGCATGTGTGAGTGTGTGTGTGTGTGTGTGTGTGCATGTGTGTTCATGAATGTGCGTGTGCGTGTGTGAGTGAGTGAATATGTGTGTGTGCGTGTGCATGTGTTTGCACATGTGTGTGTGAATGTGTGTGTGTGCAGTGCATGTGCATGTGCATGTCCGTGAGAGCATGCAAGCGTGTGAGTGCATACATACATGAGCCAGTGAGTTTACCAAGGCAACAGACCGTCGTGCACACAAACATGCATGCAAACTCTAGCATGTTACTTCCTCAGGAGTAACAGGCATGTTCACTCACACTTGAGCCCCTCTTATCTCACCTGCACGCTTCATCTCACCTGCATGCCTCATCTCACCTGCACTTCTCACCTCACCTCACACATCGTCTCACCTGCATGCCCTCGGAAACAAGCGCAGTGGTGTGCAAGCCAGCAGCCATGGACAGCCCCAGCACCGACACCCACCCCACCTTGGCTGATCCTCTTGACAGCGGCGACAGGTGGTACCTGGGAGAGAAAGTGGGGGAGGGAGGAGGAAAGGGGGGAAATTGGGGAAGGAGGCTGAGTTCATTGTCATTCTCATTGCCACTCATTGCCATTCTCATTGCCATTCTCATTGCCATTCTCATTGCCATTCTCATTGTCATTCTCATTGCCATTCTCATTGCCATTCTCATTGCCATTCTCATTGCCATTCTCATTGTCATTCTCATTGTCATTCTCATTGCCACTCTCATTGCCACTCATTGCCTTTCGCATTCTTATTCGCATTCGCATTCTCATTCTCATTCTCATTCTCATTCTCATTCTCATTGCCATTCTCATGCCATTCTCATTCTCATTCTCACTGCCATTCTCATTGTCATTCTCATTGCCACTCATTGCCATTCTCATTCTTATTCGCATTCGCATTCTCATTCTCATTCTCATTGCCATTCTCATTGTCATTCTCATTCTCATTGCCATTCTCATTGTCATTCTCATTGTCATTCTCATTCTCATTCTCATTCTCATTCTCATTGCCATTCTCATTGTCATTCTCACTGCCATTCTCATTGTCATTCTCATTGCCACTCATTGCCATTCTCATTCTTATTCGCATTCGCATTCTCATTCTCATTCTCATTCTCGTTCTCATTGCCATTCTCATTGTCATTCTCATTGTCATTCTCATTGTCATTCTCACTGCCATTCTCATTGTCATTCTCATTGCCATTCTCATTGCCACTCTCATTGCCACTCATTGCCTTTCTCATTCTTATTCGCATTCGCATTCTCATTCTCATTCTCATTCTCATTCTCATTGCCATTCTCATGCCATTTTCATTCTCATTCTCACTGCCATTCTCATTGTCATTCTCATTGCCACTCATTGCCATTCTCATTCTTATTCGCATTCGCATTCTCATTCTCATTCTCATTCTCATTGCCATTCTCATTGTCATTCTCATTGTCATTCTCATTCTCATTGCCATTCTCATTGTCATTCTCATTCTCATTCTCATTCTCATTGCCATTCTCATTGTCATTCTCACTGCCATTCTCATTGTCATTCTCATTGCCACTCATTGCCATTCTCATTCTTATTCGCATTCGCATTCTCATTCTCATTCTCATTCTCATTCTCATTGCCATTCTCATTGTCATTCTCATTGTCATTCTCATTGTCATTCTCATTGTCATTCTCATTGTCATTCTCATTGTCATTCTCATTGTCATTCTCATTGTCATTCTCACTGCCATTCTCATTGTCATTCTCATTGCCATTCTCATTGCCACTCTCATTGCCACTCATTGCCTTTCTCATTCTTATTCGCATTCGCATTCTCATTCTCATTCTCATTCTCATTGCCATTCTCATGCCATTCTCATTGTCATTCTCACTGCCATTCTCATTGTCATTCTCATTGCCACTCATTGCTATTCTCATTCTTATTCGCATTCGCATTCTCATTCTCATTCTCATTCTCATTCTCATTCTCATTGCCATTCTCATTGTCATTCTCATTGTCATTCTCATTGTCATTCTCATTGTCATTCTCATTGTCATTCTCATTGTCATTCTCATTGTCATTCTCATTGTCATTCTCATTGTCATCGTTACCACCGAGGCACACATTCCCATACGCACTGCATTGAGAGCACTCAACACGGTTGATCATCTGATCAGGTAGGAGCACCAAGGTGGTGAGCTGAGCAGCGTGTTGTGTAGATTGACTCAGATTAGGCTGATAAAGCCGGCAGGAGTAGGCGTGCCGCCCATGCATTCAAGTTGGGTGCACTGCATAAGCAGCTAGTAGGTATCACAAACACGAGGAGGGCGCTGTTTGTTCTGTCATTGAGTGTAGGACTAATTGAAGCCCGGCTAAAGTTGGATATATGGTATGAGGGTAGACACTCTTGGAAAACGTTAGTGAGCACATAAAAAAAAAAAAAAAAAAAACACGAGAATTCCCAAAAATGATCCATATAAAAGGTATCGTTTTTATATACAAGGTATACAACTCTAGATCTCTCGTATGGAGAGAAGTAAATAAATGAAGGGAAGTATGTCCATGTCAGGGTTCGCATTTCCCGGCCTTGATCTTGACTTGGTCCGGAATGCACACTCTGGTGGATTTGACGAGCTTATCGATGCAATCGTAGCCGTTGGTCTTCCTGTAGCACCCTTTGATTCCACGGAAGTACTTGACCTGCAGGCCAGTGCAGCGGTCGCCAGTCCCAACCACGTACGAGCGAGTCTTGGGGCACACTCCTTGCATGAAGCTGAACGAGCTCCCTATGCACGCCTGCACTTGCCGTGCAGTTGAGTGTGCGTGGGGAGGAGGGACAGAGGGTGGAGGGAGGGGGGAAGAGGGTGGAGGGAAGAGGGAAGAAGGATGCGAGTCAGGTGTGAACTGCAGGTGCGGACTGCAGGTGTGTTTGCAGTGTGATCTGCAGGTGTGAATTGGAGGCAACCAATGATTGCCATGAAAATGCATGGAACCGGCATGCTTCAGGTGGCAACCATAGGAACAATCAACAGGATTCATGAAAGCAAGTGGCAAAAGGAGAGGGCACGGACGACTGGGGAGAGGGTGAAGAAAGGGAGGAGAGAATGCAGCGGAGGATAGAATGAAGCAGGGGAGAGGGTAATGTGGACAAAGAAGAGAGCAGAGGGAGAGCAGTGGGAGAGCAGAGGGAGAGCAGTGGGAGAGCAGAGGGAGACCTCGAAGCCTGTGAGGCTGCCGACGTCAGTCTTGGGCACGAGGCGGCTGCACTTGATGCCGGGGTTGAGGCGGAAGAACTCGAGAGGGGAGAGCGGCGGGGAGGGCACGGAGCGGATCTGGTCGCACGTCTCCCCGGCCTGCACCAGATAGAACTGCGAGCACACCGGGATGAGCAGCGCCGTTGCACTCTCCGCCCGCCGCTCCACACACACCGCCTGGCTGCCCACCAGCTCCCCGCTGCCGGAGCAGTCCAGCCCGCGGTTGAGCGCCTGGAAGGCCGCTGCGCAGGGCTCATAGCAGTTGCCGATGAGGGAGAAGTATTTCGCTAGCGACTCGCATGTGTCGCCCTGGGGGGATGGGAGCGAGGAGGGGTGGGAGAGAGGCGGGGGGAAATGGGGGAGGAGAGTGGATGATGGGAGAGGAGGATGAAAGGAGACGTGGAATTGCAGTCCTGGGAAAAGGGCTGCTGGGCAGCGCTGGGGGGCGGGTTGGGCTCTGGGATCATGGGCAGGACAGCCGGTGGAGAGAGATATGGGCTGCCAGTGACTGGTATGAGAACGGCGAGAGCAGAGGACGAGAAGAGAGCAAGGAGGGTGGAAAGGAAACAGGAAAAGGAAGGGGAGAGCATTAGTATGAGGGTTGGTATGGGCTGAGAGACTGATAGAAGACGGTCCAGAAGAATAAAGAGGGGCATGGAGGAGGAGAGGTTTGAGATAGAATGCTGTGAGGACAGCAGGGCTGCTTGGAAGAGGTTAGGACACAGACGGCTGCAAGCTGCGGGCAGCAGCAGCAGTAGAGAGGACGGTGGGGGGGAAGGAGAGAGGGAGGGAGAGAGGGAGGGAGGGAGGGAGGGAGGGAGGGAGGGAGGGAGGGAGGGAGGGAGGGAGGGAGGGAGGGAGGGAGGGAGGAAGGGAGGGAGGGAGGGAGGGAGGGAGGGAGGGAGGGTGGGTGGGAGGGAGGGAGAAGAGGGAGAGGTGGGAGGGAAGGAGGGAGAGTGGGAGGGAGGGAGAAGAGGGAGAGGTGGGAGAGGAGGGAGAGAAGCGAGAGGAGAGAGAGGAGGGAGAGAGGGGAGAGAAGGGAGAGGAGGGAGAGTAGGGAGAGGAGTGAGAGTAGGGAGAGGAGGGAGAGGAGAGCGAGGAGGGGTAGAAGGGAGAGGAGGGAGAGGGGGAAGAGAGGGGGCCGACCTCTGACGTGGTGTAGTAGACGGAGCAGGGCGTGAGGTCGGCTGGCTGGACCACGTTCACCACCGTGCCGACAGCGAGAGGAGCGCTGCAGCTCAGACCCTGGTGAGGAAAAAGGGAGGGGAGTGGGGAAGGGAGGGCAGAGACGATGGGAAAGGGGAGGACAGAGGCAAGATGTGGTTGTTGGGTGGGGATCAGACTTGCAGAATGTGGGCGGAGCCTCACAGGAATGCACGGATCAGAAGAGCAGGGTCAGCAAGCAGCAGGAAGGCATGGGCCCACCACGATGCTCACGGGATTTTGTTGTTGCAGGTGGGCGAGAGTGAGGCCGTAGACGGGGTGGATGTCGGCACACGTGACACCCAACGACACCACCTTGTATGTGCTGCTGGAGTCGCCTGTGCAGTGCGGTGCAGAGTGGTGCAGATGGATGGATATACGGTGCAAATGGGAGAGGTGGGTGCACGCAGAATGGAGCAGGTGGGTGGGAATGGGCATGCGGGTGCGCAGGTGATTGGGGAGTGATCGTAATGATGGCGAGCTGTAAGGCGAGCATGGCAAAATGAGTGTCATGTGTGGCATGGCCTGAGTTTGGAGACGCTGTAAAGACGAGAAGGCCGTCTTTCGAGTATGCTTGATGGTAGCGTCGCACAAGAAAGGGTGGGATAAGGTGGATGTCGTGAAGAGAAGCATCTGGAGCGTAAGAAAGGAAAGCTATATGCATCTCACGAGAAGGTTACCTGGACCGCAGGAGAAGGTGCCATCAACAGTGGTGCCCTGCCTGAAGCCAGGAGGGCACACACACGAGTACGACCCCTTGCCATCATTCACACACGTGCCCACTGCACATGGATTGTGCACCGCTGCCCTGCACGCGTCCTCTGGGGAACACGACAAAGGATGAAAGACACAGGCAAGACGAGCATGCTATGAGGTGACTGAAAGAAGGAGGCTGAACAATTGAAGGTTTGTGTTGTGGTGCCGAGAGCACCATTACAGCAAAGCAATTGACGGGATGGAAATGTTGTGAGCACGGTTGTGACTGCATTGGGACAGGCAAGAGCGCTCACTGTAAGCACAGGGGAGGGCACTCACTGTAAGCACAGGGGAGGGCACTCACTGTAAGCACAGGGGAGGGCACTCACTGTAAGCACAGGGGAGGGCACTCACTGTAAGCACAGGGGAAAGTGCTCACTGTAAGCACAGGAGGGAGTGCACACGATAGCACAGGAGAGGGCGCTCACTGTAAGCACAGGGGAGAGCGCTCACTGTAAGCACAGGTGCGCGAGTTGTCCGGTTGAAGCGCCTCGACGAATCGCGGGTCGTTGCAGTCGCAGTGGTTGCTGGCCCCATCAGGCGTGGGCGTGCACGTGAAGTTGCCACAGGGGTTGAAGAGCGGCCCAAACACCCCACTGGTGGTGCCGTTGACGTTGCAGGGGTCCTTGGCAGCGCGCACCACCGGGTAGATCCCAGGCAGCATGTTGATCCCACACACGCCGTCGCCCCCCTGGATGTCCATCCGCATGTGCCCGCCGTCGCCCCACTCCGGGCCCCATGAGTTGCGGATGATCCAGAAGGGCGGCGCCATGTGCGGGAAGGTGGGGTCTGAGCCGGTGAGGCGATAGCCCACCAGCAGCACCACGTGGTTCAAGTTGTACGTGAAGCACGAGGGGTCCGCGTACTTGGATAGCTGGGGGAGAGACGGGTGGAAGGGATTTGGGCGCGCATGGTAATGGAATGAGTTGTTAGAAACATTTCATAAGTAGCACGACGTGGTTAAGGTTGTGGGAGAAGCACGATTGGTGTGGGTGTGTACGTGAGTGAGTGAGTGAGTGAGTGCGCATGCGCGTTCGCGTTCGCGTGCGCGTTCGCGTGCGCGTGCGTGTGCGTGCACGTGCGTGTATGTGCGTGTGTGTGTGTGGGGGTGGGTGGGTGAACTCACCCCATCATAGTCGAGGAAAGAGGGGACGGTGGCCTGCACATGCACCACCACGGGCTGTCGCTGCACGGCCAGCAGCAGCCCAAACCAGCCGTGGAATGACGTGCGCTCAAACCCGTTCACTCTAAACGCCCCCCTTGATGGCTTGCTCTACCATGGGGGCAGGGGAAGAGAAGTAGGGGAGGAAGGGTAGGGGAGGAGAAGTAATGAAGGAGGGAAAGGTGGGAGGGGAAGGGGAGGAGGGATAGGGGAGCAAGGGTATGAGAGGGGACATGTGGGAGGTGGAGTAGGAAGGTTGTCAGAATCCTAGCCATTACACCACGGGGATAAAAGGGCTTGTTAACTAGGGGGTCAGTGCGTTTATAACCCCCCAAGTTAGCAAGCCTGTAACCTTTCTTTATGATCAATCGGGCATCTCCAGTACAGATCTTATGACACCCCCATCTCACAAGAATGCCATAGGACACGGCACAATAGAAGCGCCAACATGTGCGCACATGGGGACTCGAACCCGAAACATTTGCTCTGATACCATGTGAGAATCTCAGTCACTGGACCACTGGAAAAAAATGGCTCGTTAAATAGCGGGTCAGTGCGCCCATAACCCCCCAGGCCAGGCTAGCGAGCCTGTAACCTTTCCATATGATCAATCGGGCATCCCCAGTGCAAGTCTAGTGACAAAGAGGACATGACAACATGAAACGGGGGTTGTGCGATGCAACAAAAGCCACGCATAGACCATGTCAGAACGCATATCAAGGAAAAGTACTCGATGAGTTCGAAGTACCGGACAGTGGAACAACCACCTAATGTGGGCGAAAAGGTTCAGCTGGAAAATCAACCACGTGAACCCAAGCGCATGTTGATGCCTTCAAATGGAAAAAAATGATGTAGAAGTAAGCAGAAAGGGGCCAAGAAAGCGTCGCCACATTAGGCTGCTTAAAAAAAAAAAAAAAAAAAAATGTAACAAGAGTTGCCCACTGTTCCAGGGGTGTGGCCTTTGCCGCAGGAGATCCCAAGCGCTTGTGCGAGCAGAGAAAAGATGGGCATGCTACAGAGCGGGCTCTGGCTGCTGCTCTTCGTGGCCCCGCCCCCGCTCACCACCACCCCGGTCCCGCCGTCCTCCGTGAGTCCCACTTTGCTCTTGGCGTTGAGAGTGACGAGGTACTGGAAGGCCTGGGAGGGCGAGTTGCCCTGCGAGCATGAGGCGCCGAGGGCGCTGCGCAGCTGGGTGACGGAGAGGTGTGGCACAACAGTGAGGTTGGAGAGAATGCCATATGCCATTTCTATGCTGCCCACCACCGCGTACGCCCAGCAGTCACCTGAAAGAGAGGAAGGGGGGAAGAGGTAGGATGGGAGAGGATGATGAAATATGAAGCTAAAGTGGATATTTATGCTGCCCACGACTGTGTATGCCCCGCAGCTAGCTGGCATGGGAAATCGGGAGGATGCAGCAAGAGGGAAGTGGGAGGGGAGAGGGGAAAGCAGGAAGGGATAATGGGCATGGCAGGAAGGGAGAGGCCACGCAAGCCACAAATGCCACACAACCCTCTTGTCACCAGAAAGCATTTTAACAGTGCGTGCCCTCTCATTCCTTTGCGCCCCCTTTCAACCAAGTAAGAAAGTAACTCATGCTATTCCATCCCATCAAATTTCATCCCATCCCAACCCATTCCAGCCCAGCCCAGCCCATCCCCTCCCTTCTCATCCCCTCCCCTCCCCTCCCATCCCATCCCTTCCACTTCCCTTCCCCCGCCACCCGCATGCCCTCACCGCAGGCGCCTTGGTTCTGGACAGGCCAAGAAAGCCCCTGGTCGGTCCAGGAGAACGCCTGGCTCACAACCCACACCTCCTCCTCCTTGCCGCTTCCCCCTTCCGCTCCTGCTGTACCTGCTGGCAGCACTGCTTGCACGCCCGCACTGGCGTAGCGGAAAAACAGGTTCGCCCCCACTGGTGCCAGCGATGCCTCGCTGAACTGGAACCCAAACTGCTGGCCTGAGAGGGGGAGTCGACAAGGGAGGGCACGGTTGGTTGGGGTAGGGTAGGGCAGGGTAGGTTAGGCTGGGGTTTAGGTATTGGGAGTGGAAGACGCATGGGGAGTGGGAAGGAAGTTAATGGGTCAAGTGGCAATGAGTGCGATGGGGAGGATAAGGAGGCAGATGGGAGGATGTGTTGAATGAAGATTGGGAGGCGGACCTTGGGAGGGAACAGGGCGAGGCCTAGAGGGAATATTGAGGGGAGGACTTGAGGGACGTTTGGGGGGGAGGGGCAGGGAAGGGCTGGTGGGGGTGCAAGATTGTGGGCGGCCTTGTGGGAGGATTGAGGGGACGGTGGAGAATTGGGGACAAAAGAACGAAGGGTGGCAAGAAGAGACCCAAGCAACAAAAGCAGAAACAGAAAAAGGTGCGAATTCAGGCCAAGTCAATCATACCTGTAAGAGTGGCTGATTCGGGAAGGCCTGAGCAGACAACGGGAGATAGAAACAGACAGCAAGATTTATAAGAAGATGTAACAAGCAAAGCAAACGTAACATATAAATGTGAACAACGGTAGGGTGTGGTTTAGGGGCGAGTTTGAGTGGGACGATACAAATGGAGGGAGGGGATGGCAGCAGCTACAGGCGTTTGTGTTGAACTGTCAGTCAGTCAACCTCACCACCAAGGATGGAGGAATGAACCAACACCAAAGAGGCAATATAACTCACCGACAACAAGTCCGAATCGCACGACAATAGACAACAGTACGGGAAGAAGAACAGTCCGAAGCGATAAGCACGCGGGAGTAGAGGAGAACGGAGGGGGTGGCAGCAGGGAGCAGCATTGAGCAGCGGTAAGGACCTGTGGTGATGTTCCACTCAAGGATGGAGTGCTGCTGAGGGGAGTCAGAGGAGGAAGCAGTGAAGCCCATGAGGAACGATGCCTCGGCTGCACTGGGCTGCAGGAACTCGCACAGCGACACCTGCATCGCCAGCACTGCCTTGCTCGGTCGAGGGGACCCCCTGGCCGACAGAAACACCCGCAGCCACCCCGTGCCGCCGCCGCTGCTGTTGCTGCTGCCATAGGTAGCGCTGCCACTAGCAGCACCGCCAGAGGAGGAAGGAGAGGGTTCGAAGACGACCCAGGCTTGCTTTGGCTTTCCGTCGTTGAGAGTGAAGGGCGCTTTGGCAGTTGCGATGGAAGAGGTGTTGCCCCTCACACTCACTCCCACGTGGTTGTTGTCTGGGTCGTTGGCATCAGTGCTCTTAGAAGTGTCAAACTCCACGGCTATGCTGCGCTCATCCATGCCAGAATACCCCAAGCTGCCGCCCCCACCACTGCCGTCACTGTTGCCACTGCTACCGCCCGTAGCAGCGTCGCTGGCTGCAATCACAAACGCAAAACCATCCCCCGCGTCACCTGCCGCTGTGGCTGCTGCCCTGCTGGCGGTGGCTGGTTTGAGAATGGAGAAGGAGAAATAGACGGTGAAGGCCAAGGGGCGGCCGCAGGCACCGGCCTTGAGTGCGAAGGAGAAGAGTGGGATGGGCAGTTGGAGGAAGGCTGCACCCCACTTGTTCAGATGAGAGGCTGTGAGTGTGATGCGCCCGTCGTTTGCCACTGAAGCCCCCCCTTTCACTGCTGTCTGTGCTGCTGTCGGCCGCACACTTAATGGGTCTTCGCCTGCAGATGAGGGACGGGGCGCGGTTAGGCAACAGGGGAGAGGGAAATGCTCTGATGGGGAGAGAATTCCATGAGGAGGCGTCGCAACAGGAGAGCATGATAAGAGATGGCTTTTGACGCACCTCAAACGTAGGGCCTTGGGATCTCTGAGGCACACCCACAAGCCAGCCTTGTGGGTTCAAACCTGAGCAGGAAGACTCTAGAACCGTAGTCGTGGCCTCCCCACAGCACAGCACGCATTGTCAGGTCAGAGTACTATCCCTCTTCCTCTTGTATCCTGCATGTATCCTTTATTAGGGTTTAGGGTTCTCCAACCCAATAAGTCAAGAACCCAACCATCTCCTCGTTACCTTGAGAGCTTTATATTATCCAATCGCATTTCTTTCTCCTTTTCACACACGCACACCATCCATCCACACAGCCCTAACAGACCACACCATCCTCATTCCCCTCATCCACTATCCATATCCCCCACCTCCCCCCAACCCCACTCACTGCCTTCAGCGATGCAGCTTCCAGGAAACTCCCCATTGACAAACCCAGACTCGCAGTCACACGTGGGCACTCTGCTGGGGCCCTCCAGGTAGCACACGCCATGGCCGTCGCACGGGGGATCGGCAGCACTCACGCCGCAGAAGGCAGCACAGAGCTCCTCCGGCCGCTGCACCGCTGCATCCGCAGCAGAGGGCGTGGCTGGGGTAGGGCAGGAGAAGCCTTGGGTAGGGGTTTGGAGGCAGTTGAAGCGAAAGGAGATGGAGCCTTGGGAGCAGTCAGGTGGGGAGGAGAAGCCTGAGGAGAAATAGTTGAGATCGAGATTGTAGGAGGTGATTGTTGGTGGGATGGGCTGCAGTACAGGGCCCGTCAGCTGGTTGTTGCGCAGGTTGCTGCGACCGGGGTGGGAGGATGGGAAAAAAGGGGGAGGAAAACGTATGAGGGGGGGGGGGGGGGGGGGGGGGGGGGGGCAAGAGATGATTATGGGAGAGGGACGGGAATACGGAGAAAAGAGAAGGGGAGGTTGAGCAAAAGGGACATCTGATGATGCGATGCCTGCACTGAGGGCTTGGCTAATGGATGGGGATGCAAGGAGGCCAGTGGGAGATGGTGAGGAGAGTGAGGACATACAGGAGGGTGAGACGGACAAGGCCTGTGAGAAGAGTGGGGATGGTTCCATGCAGACGGTTGTTGCTCAGGTCACTGCAGGGAGAGAGAAGATTGTCGAGAGCTAAAATAATGGTCAATCCGAAAGTTCGTTACAAACAGTCCTCTATCCTCGCATCACATCAAAATGATTGTGATGCATTTGCTCTATTCGAGCTGTTGCTCGTGCAGTTGCTGGGATGACTCAGACATACTGAAAGGGCTATAGGTTCCGTCCTGGGAAGTATGAGTGTGGTGCTTTCAACATGGTATCAGACCGATGTGGTATTCAAGCCTCGGTGTGCACTGTTTTTTATGGTCATATGTTTTTTGAGAATTTTGAGAATTCTCAAAAAACATACGCTGTTTGTTGTGGTCATCTTGTTGCTACAGAAACAGACGGTGCACAGCACAGCGGTGCACAGTGGTGCACATATGGTGTTCAGCTGGGCGAATGCTGCGCGATAAGTCATATAGAGCCCTCACATGGCTTCCATGTGAGGGCGATAAGGGTGAATCACTCACATGGCTTCCATGTGAGGGCGATAAGGGTGAATCACTCACATGGCTTCCATGTGAGGGCGATAAGGGTGAATCACTCACATGGCTTCCATGTGAGGGCGATAAGGGTGAATCACTCACATGGCTTCCATGTGAGGGCGATAAGGGTGAATCACTCACATGGCTTCCATGTGAGGGCGATAAGGGTGAATCACTCACATGGCTTCCATGTGAGGGCGATAAGGGTGAATCACTCACATGGCTTCCATGTGAGGGCGATAAGGGTGAATCACTCACATGGCTTCCATGTGAGGGCGATAAGGGTGAATCACTCACATGGCTTCCATGTGAGGGCGATAAGGGTGAATCACTCACATGGCTTCCATTCTTAAGAGCCCTCCGAGAAGAGTGGGCAGGGTGCCGCTGATCTGGTTGCAGCAGAGGTTGCTGCGTGATTGCAGAGTGAGGGTGAAGTGCACACAACAGGAAGTAACGGACAGGAAGGATGGGAAAGTGGAGAAGGTAGGAAAAGGGTCAATCCAATGGCCAGGGAAGCAGAGGGTTCATTGTGAGGTGTGAATAACGTTGAGTTCATATGGTTCTTATGAAATAAAAGAGAGAAAACGCACACACACACACACACACACACACACACACACACACACACACACACACACACACACAGAGTTGAAACGGAAAAATGGTGAGAAAAAGGTAGAGAGGAAACAGGAGAGGGTTGGGAGTGGGAGGGGGAAGGGGGAATCCAGTGGGGTGGGGGGGGAGGAGCAGGTGAGCGGGGAGGGGTGTCCGGGCAAAGAAGTGAGTTGGAGGGTGATTAAGGGGATGGGACAAGAAAATGGGTGTGGAACAGAAAGGAAGCACAGGACTTGGGAATGGGTATAACAAGGGAAAACGAGGAGAAGGTGAGAAAAGGAATGTTGAAGTGAGGAGACGGAGGGGGGGCAGTGAACGTGGGGGAGAAGGGTGCAGGGGGAGAAGTAGAGAAGGAAACATTGATTGGGGCAGTGAATGGGGCGTGGACAGGGCGCGAGGGGTGGAGGGGCACTGACAGTGCTTCGAGGTTGGCGAGATTGGAGTACTCGACTGGTATGGAGCCGGTCAAATCATTGCCGCTCAGATTGCTGCCGTAAATGAAGTGGCGGTCAGGGGGGAAAGGGGAGAGAAGGGGGGCGGTGGGGGTACGAAAAGGGGAAGGGAAGGGGGAAGGGATTGAGGTGAAATCAAGGGGCAGTTAGAAGAGAGAAAATGAAAAAGGATTGCCTGTGACAAAAGAGAGGGTAAGGGGATGACGAGCACCTTCCATCCCGATGCAGCCGCAAGGGGTTTCATCAACGCTCACCCCTCCACCTACGGGATAGTTTGTAGGGGCTGCCAATCGCTAAATCCTGCCTAAATTCTGCTGCACCAAAACTGCCAGCGCAATTCGGAAGGTCACCAGCAGACTTGGCAACCTGCAGAAAGCTAGACTTGACTTCCAATTCGGAAGGTAATCGGGAAAAACGCCAGACTTGGCAGCCGGACTTGGCAGCCGGACTTGGCAGCCGGACTTGGGAGCTTTGAAAACCTTGGAAGAAGAGAAGCCTGCGCCTGCTGTGGGCTCACCTTAAGCAGTTCCTCCTTGTCGCCGCGCACGCACCCTGCGGTGATCTGATCTGTGCACTATCCTTGAACCCCTTACGGCCTCTCCTTTGCATAGTCGATTTTTGAGTCGACTCAAAAATCGACTGATCTGTGCACTATCCTTGAACCCCTTACGGCCTCTCCTTTGCATATGTGGTAGCAGAGGACACTGTAGGGATGCTAAGTGTCGCCTTGCTGCCTGTAGAGCTCTGTACACAGGTCTCGAGTTGTGCATGCTACATGCAGGGACCACTTGAGAGGGACACGTCCCAGTAACATAAATGCATGCTACATGCAAAGGAGCCCTCTGCTGTGTGCTTATTGGCGTCGCAGAAGCAGAAGGAAGTGAGGTCGGGAGAGGGCAGGCAGTGGTACAGTGGTGCACTTCACTATCAGGGGGAGAGGGTAGTGGTGCACTGCACTCACATGGTCTTGAGGGTAGTCATGCTGCCGATGCTGGTTGGAAGAGGGCCGGTCAGGTCATTGTGGCTCAAATCGCTGGGAGTAAAGGCAGAGATGATTGGAATGGGTTGTATGGGGTAGAGAGTTGGGTGATAGAAAGGGAACGAATTGAAAAAACTTGTCTGGACTGCTGGCATGACATGATATATGGCAGCAGAAGCCGTGGAAGCATGGGAGCAGCAGTGAGTGGGCGTACAGGTTGGTGATGGTGGCATCCAAAGCTGTGGTCTCTGCAGGCATGGTACGTTTTGAGAATTCTCAAAAGTGGTTTCAACGTACAGGTTGGTGATGGCATCTAAAGCTGTGAGCTCTGCAGGCATGGCCCCCGTTAGCTGGTTGTAGCTCAGGTCCCTGCCGTGCACGAGCAGAGCAGGCAAGGGAGCGGGGAACATACATACATGCATGCATGCATGCGTACATGTCATGTGTCTGATAACTGCAGTGCAGCAACGTGGGGGAAGCACATGTGGAAGCAAGTGCCATTACAAGCAACCGTGCTTGTGCATTTTCCAGTTTGTGCCTGTTCAGATGGCGGCATATGAGAATACCCTCATCGTGCACTGCACGGTCTGAATCAAATCAAATATGCGCATTTTCAAAAGTGGTGGAATATGAACTTGCCCTTGTGCACTTCACATCACAGAACAGCATGGCACGGCACGACATGCACGAGTGTGCGTTCGTCTACAACCTTTCACAGCGTGTTGCGATGCATACGATTTCCACAGGTCGCTTGCTTGCTTGTTCATATGTGGCCGGCTGGTCGGTTGGTGTGGAAAGCAAAAGGAGGGATGGATGGAGGCGGGAGGATGGAGGCGGTGGAATGCTTACAGCTTCTGCAGGCCGCCAATCTGTGCAATAACTTTTGCCGGAACAGAACCCGAGAAAGCATTGCTGGAAAGAGATCTGGCGAGAGAAGCAGAGAGGCAGAGAGACAGAAGGACAGGGAGACAGGGGGGCAGGGAGACAGGGAGACAGGGAGACAGGGAGACAGGGAGACAGGGAGACAGAGAGGCAGGGACGGAGAGATGGAGGGGCAAGACAGAGGGAAGAGGCAACAGAACGAGGGGCAACAGGGTCGTGATATGGAGGGGGGGACGTGAGAAGAGGCATGATGCATGAAGACGGACACACTATCGTTCAGCACGGGACATGGTGCGACGAATGTTCTCAGCGTGCAACTGATAGCATGCAAGGCAGCGAAGGGAATGCAGTGCGTGGAGTTCAATGAAGGAAGTGCATTGAAGGGAGTGCAGCGAAGGGAGTGCAGTGAGGGAAGAGCATACAGCGCCTTCAGGGCGGTGAGAGTGCTGATGGTTGAAACGAGCGTGCCTGACAGACGGTTGAAGCCCAGGTCTCTGTGGAAGAAATGGAGAAGAGGGGATGGTGTGTGGGAGGGGGCGAGGAGAGAGTGATATTGGAGGGGAAGAGGACGAAACGGAGAAGAAGAGTTGGTGTATGGGAGGGTGAAGGATGGACAGTCGGGGGGTTTGGCTGTTCGGATCTGTGTGTGGGACCTTGCTCGCTGTAATAGTAGGGGAGAGGGGCGGGTGCAGCAGCTGTATACTCATCAGAAGACATGAGGTCATGAGCACATGAGGTCATGCGCACATGAGGTCATGCACACATGAGGTCATGAGCACATGAGGTCATGAGCACATGAGGTCATGAGCACATGAGGTCATGCGCACATGAGGTCATGCGCACATGAGGTCATGCGGGCATGAACACATGAGGAAAAGAGGAAGACAATCACCAAAGCGCGAATAGGTCACAAGATAAGCAGGGACGGGTAGTGGTGTAACTAACAGGCTGGTGAGTTTGGTGAGGAGGGAGAGGGAGGAGGGCATGGATCCAGACAGCTGGTTGTGACTCAAGTCCCTGTGGCACAGCAGACAGGGTACGGTGTGGTGTGGAGTGGAGTGGAGAGATATGGTGTGATGGTGTGGTGTGGTGTGGTGTGGGATAGTATGGCATGGCATGGTAGCAGAAATGGGCCTCAAGCATGCAGAGAGGATTCAAGCCGGATCCACAGAGGAATCAAAGGGGGAATGGAGAGGATTCAGAGAGGAATAAAAAGAGGGAGCAGACGGATTTAAAAAAAAAAAAAAAAAAAATCTCAGGAGGGTCAAAGAGGATCCAAAGAGAAATCCAAGAGGATTTTATGAGAGGTTCTAGCGAGGCTTTAAAGAATGTCCACTCCACACACTCACAGGTGGGGCGTGATGGTTAGGGCGGCGATAAGAGGCTCTGGGATGGAGCCCGAGAGAATGTTGGACGACAGACCCCTGAAAGGGGAGGGGTGCGGTGCGATGGTGAGGGGTGAGAGCGGCAAGGTGTGATGGCAGTGGTTGGGAGCGACGAGCGTGGAAGGGAGATGCTAAGTGTTTTGGGATGGGTTGAGATGAGATGCAGAGTGGTAGACTGGAAAGGGTGCGGTGGAGCGAGATGCAAAGCAGTGGCGTGGGTAGGATAAAGCACAGGCACAAGCTATCTACCCCCCCACACAAAGACAGGGTGGAGAGATGCTGACAGGGCGCAACACATGCTACCGAGTGGTAGCGAGAGGGAGACACACACACACACACGCTACTGTGTGTGTGGTACTGACAGGGTGACACACCCATGCTACTGCAAACTGACAGGGTGGAGAGCTGGAAGAGGCGGCTGTAGCCCAAAGGCAGCGATCCCGTGAATATGTTGCCACTGAGGTCGCTGGGGATTGGGAAGAGGGGGGGTGGGGAGAGAGAGAGGGAAGAAAACGGAGAGGGCAGAACGAGGAAAAGGGGCAGAGGGGGAGGATGAGGGAGAGAGGGGCGAGGGGGGACAGTTGGAGAAGGGAGAGAGGAAAGGGAGAAGGTTTGATGGCTGAGACTGGACCACCACCCCGCTGCTTTCGCTGTTGAAAATACAATCAATCAACTGAAACTACAATCAATGCATCTTCAAAACTACAGGCAATCAGGCTAGGGCATTTGAGTAGAGATGGGAGAGGGCGGGGGAGGGGGGTTCAGTCTGTGGGTCGACTAGAAAGGGAGACTAACAGGTGGGAGAGAGAAGTGGCAAGGCTAAGGATGGTGGGCAGTGGCCCTGATATCTGGTTGAAACTCAGATCCCTGCACGTGGAAAGGGGGAGGGGATCATGAAAGACGGGCAAGAAAATGTTACGAAAAGACTAGAATCTCACATGTTTTACTTTTCATAATGTACTTTTTATATCCCAATTTAATGTATGATCATTGTTGTGGGATAGATGCTAACTACCATCTCCAACTTCACCAGATTGTGATCAACTGAAAGTCTTTACCCACCAATAGAGAGATTCAGCCAATCTTATTGGAGATTGCATTTACTCTTCTACTCATCCTTTCCCACCAATTCATGCCGTACTTAAGGGGCCCATAGCGTTATTACTTCATCACCTAGCCAATTACTTCTGATTGGGACCTTTTTAAAGCTCGATATGTGGAAGCTGGGAAGCCCGGAGAGGGCCAGATTACAAAATACAAGTAATTCAAATCAGGAAACAAACGGGTGTTGCTTCGTGCATGCAGCATGCTTGGTCGATTTTTTGCACTCACAGTTTCTTAAGGTCTGTGAGCTGGGTGATAATGGAAGGAAGATCGCCCGATAACTTGTTGGACCCGAGCACTCTGATTGATTGGGGTTCGTTCACGAGGCAGCAGCAGCCCATGGTGACTTCTGAGGCGCCTCAAAAAGATCGGGGTTTGTTCATGAGGGAGCAGCGCATGGTGTTTATGGTGGTGATGGTTGAGGGGACACGGTGAGCGTGCTGCTGATGGCAAGTGGTGGAATGTGTTGTGATGGTCAAGCCACACAAGGCATGCATGGGTCAAGTTGATGGTATGGTGCCAGTGAGTGAATCCCGTGAAAAGAGGCTTTCGCCCTGTGGGACAATTTGGCATGCGATCCAAAGGCATTGCATGAATTGCACAGCATGGCATGGCATGGGCATGCCATGGTATGGGCATGGCATGGGCATGGGCATGGGCATGGCATGGCATGGGCATGCCATGGTATGGCGCGTGCAGGGAACGGCAAGCCTCACATATTCTGCAACTGTGTGAGTTGAAGCATGGAAGCAGGAATGGATCCTTCGAGAGAGTTGCCCGACAAATCACTGCAGGGAGGGATAGAAGGAGGGAGGGAGGGACCAGGCGACAGAGAACACGAGAAAATGGGAAAATGACACCTGCTACAACAGGTGCGCAAGCGGGCGAGGAATAACAGGTGGGAGTGGAAGGACGAAGGAACGGAAGGAGAGGGGGGTTTGCAGTGGGTGGTTTGTGCATCGAGCTACTCCCATTGAGAAAGGACCTGCTCACATGGTGACAGCACCCCCGACATTGGAAATAGTTGGAGGAATCAAGCTCGAGAGAAAATTCCTTGCCAGGTTGCTGGGACGAACAGGGAAAGGGGAGGGGTCGAAGGAGGGGGGTGCGGAAGGGGAGAGTACATGATATGGGAGTGGCACATTTATAAGAGCCAGGATTGTTGACGAGGAAGTGCAAAAGAATGATCAAATTAAGCCCCAAGCCCTCACAGGTAGGTCATTGCAGTGTTCGGATTGGCGGGAGTTGGTAAGGGTCCTACGAAGCTGTTACCACTTAGGTCCCTGCATTTGAGGATGCGCACGGATGTTCACATTCAGAGGCACACGCACATTCACATGGTCATGCACTAAATAGTGAGTCAGGGAGTGTGTACAGTTAGATTGCTGACAGACTGTGGAATCTAGGCAAGAAGAGAAAAATGGTGTATGAAATAATGGACATGCAAATGGTAATGGTTAGCTTACAGTGATTCGAGAAGTGGAAGGTTGATTAGGTATTCGGGAATGTCAAGGGAAAACGAATTACCGCTGAGATCACTGCAATGAGAATGAAAGATGGGCGAGAGGCAGAGAGAGAGGCACGAAAGACAGAGGGAGAGGCAGAGGAAGAGAGGGTGAGACAGAGGGAAAGAGGGATACTGTAATATGAAACACTATGGCAAACATAGGCTGGATTGGGATTTGATCTGTTGACGGGTTTATTATTGTACTTTTAAACCACTGATATGGTTGGTCTCGGTTCTCCAAATTCTTTCGGTTGAGATTTGCAAAAACTCTAGTGCAAGAAATTTTGGTCGGACAAACCGCAGCAGCAGGAGGAGGAGGAGGAGGAGGAGGAGGAGGAGGAGGAGGAGGAGGAGGAGGAGGAGGAGGAGGAGGAGGAGGAGGAGGAGGAGGAGGAGGAGGAGGAGGAGGAGGAGGAGGAGCAGGAGGGGGAGGAGGAGCAGGAGGAGCAGGAGGAGGAGGAGGAGCAGGAGGAGGAGGAGGAGGAGGAGGAGGAGGAGGAGGAGGAGGAGGAGGAGGAGGAGGAGGAGGAGGAGGAGGAGGAGGAGGAGGAGGAGGAGGAGGAGGAGGAGGAGGAGGAGGAGGAGGAGGAGGAGGAGGAGGAGCAGGAGGAGCAGGAGGAGGAGGAGCAGGAGGAGGAGGAGGAGCAGGAGGAGCAGGAGGAGCAGGAGGAGCAGGAGGGGATCACAGCACAGCAAGGGCAGCACGGGGTGTTACAGGCAGGCAGAGCAAGGCGCAGCCTTACAGTGCGTGGAGGTTAACACAATACCCTGTGTCAAGCAATATAGAAATTGCGGGTAGAGAGATGACTTTTGAGGCAGCTCAAAAGAGCAATGCAGGGACTTACAGTGCCTTAAGATTCGTAAGTTCTGAAAAGGGCGCAGTGTCGACCAGTCCGTTCTTGGACAGGCCACTATTGGGAAAGAGAATGGACCGTGGGGAGGCAGGAGAAATGTGATGGATGGCTAGAAGATGGATGACCAGAAGATGGATGGACAGTGAAATGCAGAGAGGAGAGGCCAGTGCGACAGGTGCCCTGGCGTGATGGCGTGCAATCCAGTGTGGTTCAGTGCGGTGCAACGAAGTGGTAAGGTGAGAGGTGATTGTAGCAAAAATTGAAGGTACTTACAGGTAGGTGAGGGATGTGAAAGCGGATAGTACATCAAAGTAGGGGGGAGAGATGGGGTTGGCACCCAGGTTGCTGGTGGTTAGAAGAGGGGGCGCAGAAAGAGAATGGTGGAGCAGAAAGAGATTGCTGGAGCAGAAAGAGTGCAGTGAATACACATACATGAACAGATTGCATGTGAGCATACAGCCACAAGCGAAACTAGTAAGGAGGTTAGAGAAAGGAATGTAACAAGCCAGCCACGGGGAAGAGCATGCATGCATGCATGAGCATGGGGATGAGCGGTGGCCACTATACTCAGAGCATGGAGAAGCGCAGTGCAGGGGAAGGGGAAGGGGACGGGCAAAGGGGCAGGAAAGAACATATGCATTAAGAGAAAATGGTGCCGGAAACATGTGAAGGGGGGTGGACGGGGAGAGGAGAGAGGAAGTGAACACGCAGTGGCAGCAGCACTAACAGGTGTCGAAGGTTGACCATCTTCTCCATATCCAGTGGTAACGCCGAGTTTATATTATTGTCGTAAAGGTCCCTGCCATCCCATGCCATGCCGTGCATTGCCATGCCATGCCACGCCATGCCATGCATGCCACGCCACACCATGTCGTGCCATGCATTGCCATGAGATGCAGGGGGGTGGGCAGACGAGGAGAACAGCCCAGAAACGCGGATGACCAGTGCATGGTGGGAGGGATGCATTTACAGACACATCATGCATTTGAATGATGGCATAAGGACACATGATAAGCAACCCTCTCAGGAAATAGAGGCAGGCTTGGGAGAGGCGAGCGAGGTGGTCAGTTCTCACAGAAGCGAGAGGTTAGTGAGATCAGTGATCTGTGGAGGAATCAAGAACTGTATCCCACACTTGGCTGCACGCCTGAAGTAAGACGGACATGCGCAAGAGCAGACGTGAGAGGGAAAAGGTTAGGGTAGGAGAGGAGAGGGTGGAAGGAGAAACAGGAGTGCAGCATAAGATAGCAACCTATTGGGTGGATTATGAGTTGAGCCAGAGAGAATGATGGGGTGAGTGTGGTGATTGCAGCTGGGAGTTGCACGCATTGTGACTAGAACAAGAGGGTAGTTGTTGTGAATTCTTGAGAAGAGGAAGGAAAGTAGCTGAACAAAGTCTAGAACGAATGATGTTAATCTAGAGACGTTACATTTTAGCTTCTTTGTGATGTATGATGTGCATGAAATAATTTCATAATCTACAAGATTCCATTAAACATCAAGTGAGCCTTTGACGAGGCTCAAAACACACTGAGTTGCTTGTGTAAGGATGTTGGTGCAGGTGGTGCTGGTGCTGATGCTGCTGCTGGTGCTGGTGCAGGTGCTGGTGCTGGTCTGCATTATGAGCTGAACAATGATACACTGAGGAGTAATGCGGTTAAATTACAGCTCTCGCAATTTGGTGAGGATTGAGATTCCATCTGCAAGGGTTCCAGTGAGACCGTTGTTGGAGAGGTCTCTGGTGGGGGGCGATGAGAGAGAGAGAAACAGGCGACACAGCAGAGGGTCAATGAACGTTGCAGAAAGCTTTTTTAAGGCGCCTCAAAAATCGTTCCAGTGAGACCGTTGTTGGAGAGGTCTCTGGTGGCGGTGAGAGAGAGAGAGGAGAGACAACGTAGGGACGAGGAAGGTTGCAGAAAGATGCGAGGGGTCTCCACTCGAAACATCTGAAAGAACAGCATTGCAGCATACTGGACTGCAGTGAGCGAGTGTGGCAGGGCTACATGCATGGGAATGATAAGCCCCACGCACTAGCTAGCTTCATGCATGAGTTGAGACCACCATTTCTACCAACCCCCGTGTCGTCCCACTGTCTCCCCCTCTTCTTCTCGCTTTACACCATGGGCCAAGAACATACGGACAGCACAACATGCACTGAGAGAGTGGTATTTGAGTGGAGTGAAAGGAAGGCGCGCAGCATAGTGACAGTGGTGAAGCTGAGCATTGTGTCGTACACGACACCTCCTATGTGGTTGTAGACTTCTCAAATCTCAAATTTTAGGACGTCTCAAAAGGAAGGCAAGACGCACAGCATGGTGACAGTGGTGAAGATGAGCATTGTGTCGTAGATGTCACCTCCTATCAGGTTGTGGACGCCTCAAATCTCAAATTTTAGGATGTCTCAAAGCAATCTAGTTTTGAGACGTCTCAAGGCAAGACGCACAGCATAGTGACAGTGGTGAAGATGAGCATTGTGTCGTACACGTCCCCTCCTATCAGGTTGTTTGCTAGTGACCTGTGGCATGCATATGGACACGAGTAAACATGGGAGATTAGCGGGAGGGGGGGAAGAGGGGAGGGAGGGGGGGGGGTTGCTCTGCTCTGCCCCTCTGCTCTGCACTATCTCAGAAACCTAGAAACCTGGCACACTTGGATGGTGTTTTGAGTCGACTCATCAGAACACATATAATCCGCGTGAAATGAGTCGTGTTTTGAGTCGACTCAAAACACATCAAATCCGCGTGAGATGAGTCGTGTTTCGAGTCGACTCAGAACACATTAAATCCGCGTGAGATGAGTCGTGTTTTGAGTCGACTCAAAACACGACTCTGCACTATCCCAGAAACCTGGCACACGTGGATGGAGCAGCTTACAATTCCAGGAGGCTTGCCAATGCAGAGTAGGACCCGTCAATAACCCCCTCTAGGAAATTATTGTTGAGGCGCCTGCAAAATGCATTGGCAACAGACACAGGCAAGGGATGGTCAGCGCAACAGTGCATGCAGCATGGGTTGTGAAGCATCTCTTGCCCCTGCTGCAATGACAGCCTCATCGCAGCAGTGCAGGCATGCATGCATGAGGATGGAGATAGCAGCATGGATGGAGGCAATTGATCGTGTGTCGGTGTGGGCGACCGGGTGTGGATGCCAGTGGGGGGGGATTCCATGTGTTGCAGATTTCCGAGTTTTATATCATTCCAAAGGAATACTCGCAATTATCTGGTTGTTGTGGAGGTAGAACAGAACATGGGTTGGGAACTTGGGAAGGAGAGGGGAGGGGAGGGAGGGAGGGAGGAAAGGAGAGAGGGAGAGAGGAGGGGAGGGAGGGAAGGAGGGAGGGAGGGAGGGAGGGAGGGAGGGAGGGAGGGAGGGAGGGAGGGAGGGAGGGAGGGAGGGAGGGAGGGAGGGAGTGAGGGAGGGAGGGAGGGAAGTGAAGGAGGGAGGAGGTGAGTGTGTGAGGGGGTGGGCCGGAAGGAAACAGACGTTTGAGTTGCATATCTGTTGTAATGTGATGTGAACTGGTGCAAAGAAGGGAACACTTTGAGAGGCTTTTAGGGAAATCTGCCTGCTGGGTGGGCTGAAATGTGTGTTGTGGGTGTAGTAAACTGTGTCTGCTGCAAGTAAATCTGATGCACAAGCAACTCACAGGGACCGGAGCTGGGCCAAGCGGTTCAACCCAGCAGGCAGCATTCCCGTCAGGTGGTTGCTACCCAGGTTTCTGGTTGCAGAGGAGATGCAAGAGAGCAGGGACTATGGAGTGAATAAGGGTGGGGTTCCTTAGAGAGCAATGGAGCATGATCCCTCAATCAACCTGAAAGCTAGAGTACAGCACAGGTTGTGATAGGAATTTCAAGACGTCCTAACGATGAATGAAGCAGATCAGGATTGGTGCCAGAGGCGCACGCACAGTCGTGTGAGAGATTGCATGTCACTGATTTGGGTGGGTATGGTGCCCCATAACTGGTTGTTGTTGAGTAGACTGCGAGGGACAGAAAACAAGGGAGAAAAAAAAAAGAGGAAAAGAGGAGAAGGGGAGCGAGGGGAGACGAAATGGGAGGGGAAGGGGCGAACGGGGAAAAGAAGTGTGGGGGGAGCTAGGAGGTCTATTGAGGGAGCACTCATGGGTTAAAACGGGGAATAAAACCAGCACAACAAGAGGTGAGGAATGGGGAGGGGGTGCAGGTGCAATGCAAACGGTTATCCGGACACGGGGTAGGAGTGGGGGAATGAGCGAGCCTGGTGCCACAAGGAAAAACGGCCAGAGGTAAAGCGCAGGCTGAAAGGGAGGCGGGGAGGGAGGGAGAATGGGGGGGAATTACAGATGCAAACGGCACTTCTTTGGAGCATGCACACGCGCAGAGAGGCAGCATGCACACGCGCAGAGAGGCAGCATGCACACGCGCAGAGAGGCTGCACGGAGGGCAGCAAATAGGTGTAGGGGGGTGTGCTGTGCTTACAGCTCCCTCGCATTACTAGGCAGGGCTGACAGCATAACCCTTCCCTTGGGATGGGGCCCGTGAGTCAATTCCCTTTCAGTTTTGAGACGTCTCAAAACTCAAGTAGGCATCGGGGGGGAGTGCACTGTGCTTACAGCTCGATTGTGTTAGGCAGGGTTGACAGCATGCTCCCTGGAATGGGGCCCGTGAGTCGATTCCCTTGCAGCCGCCTGATGCCATGCATTGCAGCACAGAGAGGCGGGCAGAGCACGTGGAAGGGTAGGGGTGGGGCCGGCAAGTGGGGGGTGAGACAATGGGGGATGTGAGGGGAAGAGAAGGTGGTTGGTGGAAAGGGAGGAAGGGCGAGAAGAGGTGGATGGTCAGGGAGGGATAGAGGGGGATCAGGGAGGTGGTAAAGCAGGGTGGGACAGTAGGGGGTGGGGAAGCAGGGGATGACAGACAAGGAGATG